CTCTTATATATCTTTCCCGCGTCCCCTTCTTCTTCTTTTCGCGCGCGCTCTCTCTCTCTCTCTCTCTCTCTCTTTCTCTTCTTTCCCCACTCTCTCACCACCCTTCTCTCTCTCTTTCACTCTCACTCTCTCTCTCTCTCTCTCCTCTCTGCTGTGTGGGGCGTGTGCGCATTCGCGCGTGCGTGTGTATGTGCGTATTCGTGCGTGTATCTGAGTGCGTGCGTGCGTGAGTATGTGTGGCTTGTTGGTATGTGCGGGCGAGCACCGGTTTGTCTGGTGGTGAGAAGGAATGTTGGGTGATCGCGTGTACAAAATTAATACGTTGTCGGAGCGCGGCTCTATGCAGTGACACCGGATAATGACGGCACGACCTTGACTTTAACGTCTGTTAACGATTCTGTTCGTCGCAACATCGTTGCGGCCACCTACGCAAGCGCTAACGATGCCGCATTATGATAATGACCGCGCGCGCGGCCAGGTACCTACCTACCTAGCTCGCAAGCATGAAAGCATAGTCGCCCCCCCTCTCTCTCTCTCTCTCTCTCTCTCTCTCTCACTCTCCCTTTCTCTCTTTTTCTCTCTCTCTCTCCCGCTGTGCCTGTTCATGTTCATGTCTTTCTTTTTCTCTTTCTCTACATTTCTCACCCGCTTCTTCTTTCCCACTCTTCCTCTCTCTCCCTCTCCCTCTCATTTGCTCTTTCCCTCGTGCGTGCTCTCTCTCATCTCCTGAATGAATTAATCTCTCTCTCTCTCTCTCGAAACATAATTTACTCAAATTACTGTTTCCCATTTCCAGCAGGCTTCCGCCCGCGATGTGATTTAACCGCTGCAGCGCTCGACGGCTCCATGAAGGCATCAATGAACCTCGTGAGGCTCGAATCGCCCCTGAAGCCTCGCGCAGACTTGCGACTTTTGCTTGCTCGTCGCTGCAACCTGCAACCGCATGCGATCGGTCGCACGCTTCCCCGTGTGTGCGCATGCAAGTCGCTGTCTATACCCGCACACATGCGATTTCGAAGCGATTTCGGAGCGATTAGGCGCGACGAGTTGCTGAAAATCAAACCAGTTTGAATTCTTGCAACTCGTTGCAAGCGACCAGAATCGCTACGAGTTGCACGTTGCCGCAGACATAGCGATTTCACAGCAATTTCTTTCTCAATTACTTTTTCAGCCGAGTTGCATGAAAAAGTAACAAAGCTCCCCGTCGATGCTCGGACGAGCGGACACGCTCATCAAGCCTCGGCGGAGCGGCAGTGATCGGGGTGCGGAGCGGTCGTGACGGCCGGATGACAGGACGGATGGTGCGTGGGTCACCGAGTCACGAAGCACGCACGCGCACGCCCCCCCCCCCGGCGGCGGACGGCGGACGGTGCCCCCCCCCCCGGCGGCGGACGGCGGACGGTGTGCGGGGTATCCTGCTCGCTCCTGTCACGAATAAACACGATGTCCTGCCGCGTCGCTGTCACACACACGGACGAAACGTCGGTTTACCTGACAAGCATATTCGCTTCTCATATCCACAGAGACTTTAATCTACCTATAGTTGACCCACATCCCCCTGCAGTTGGCCCTCTAACCAGTTGGCCAGAAGGCATCGTGTCCACGACAGACGTTACGAGCATGTACGGTAGAAGCGGTTATTCGTGTTGGGTGGCAAACAGGTGGGCGATAGTCCTTGGATGTCTTGGAAACAAAAGGCAACCCGTGCAGATAAAGAAACCGGTAAAAAAAACCGCGGTTTAAATAAAATGAAATCGCGTTTAAAATCCGCACGAGGTCGTGGTTATTCAAAGCCTATAGCCGATTAGCATTCGAGTAACGGAAATATTATACACGGAAGCTCTGGTAAACAGGATCCAAGGGAAAACATGACGGCGCCACCAGCAACCACCCACCGCTCACTGACACCGCATCCCATGTCCACCTACACCTGTCATCGTCATGCGCATGCGCACATCGCTCGTGTAAAATATCAGGTCGTGCGCACACACGGGCGACACACAGCGCCACGCGAAAAACACATGAGGAAAACACTTTTCGTGAAAATAACGTTTAGTCGTATACATGCCGGAATTCCAATGCGGTATGCATTATGTCAGGCGTATATTGTGGTAGGGCACATTACATTCCGCAGCGAAATATTTGGGGGCCGCATTTGTCTATTCCATAACTCAGCGCTCGTTAGTCGCTACGGCTGCTGCAGCCATAACCCTAACCCTAACTGCCGATGGCGCGCGACCTTGAAAGAATTCTCGCGGAAAATTCGTCGGGCCTGCATCCTTCGATTGCGTCCTCTGAACAGTGACGCTGCAGCCCGGCCCCCCGTCTTCGCTGTGCACTCTCTCGCTCGCGGCAGCCCCCCCCCCCCCGTCTTCGCTGTGCACACTCTCGCTGCAGCCCGGTTCCCCTCGTCTTCGCTGTGCACACTCTCGCTCGCGGCCCGGCTCTCCATCGAAATACCGGGTCACGATGCACGGTTGGGAAGTCGAGACAAATATTTGGCAACATCTTGTCCGCTGTTTGACATTGAGGAGAACCATTGTTCGACGCGCCGTGTTTTTTTGTGTCAATGATGAAAGAACTCACCGCCCGGTGGCCACGGACGGGACACGCCTGCTTGACTGACTCTCACAGAACCACGTAGAATCGCCGATAAAGCGCAAAGTCATACTTGAACGGGCCGACCGCGGTGGCCGCTCAACTGACCGATTATCGGTGAAAAACTTTGAAAAGGATTTGTTCAAAAAGCGGACGCATGCGTTTCAGTCAAAGGCTAAGGTGACCTCGCCGTACACTAAGGGCAACTCACAGGCACTTGGAGCGTTTCAATAATATATAATGCTAAACACTCATAGAAATAATATAAGTGTCTCTATAATTATATTTCTATGGGAGCACTGGTGACTCTCCCAATATCGCGCCCCCTGGTGAGGCGAGATTAAATCATATCATATTAAGGAAGAGGCTTCTACCATAACAAACCACGGGGGGTAACTACCGGTCACCAGTATGTGGCCGTGAGTGAGTAAATATGTACACGCGGGCATGTGCTTAACCGCCGCACAGGACAGACACGGTCCGTATACACCTGGCTTAAAAAACAACCAACGCAGAAGGTCGTAACTTTACGCCTTGTCCTCGGTGCAGTATACAACCAACCAGAACCTATACGGCTCACGAATATCCCCTCTCTATATATCTTTCCCGCGTCCCCTTCTCTTTCTTTCGCGCGCGCTCTCTCTCTCTCTCTCTCGCTCTCTCTCTCTCTCTTTCTCTTTCTTTCCCCACTCTCTCACCCCGTTCTCTCTCTCTTTCACTTTCTCTCTCTCTCTCTCTCTCTCTCTCTCTCTCTCTCTCTCTCTCTGTGGGCGTGTGCGCATGCGCGCGTGCGTGTGTATGTGCGTATTCGTGCGTGTATCTGAGTGCGTGCGTGCGTGAGTATGTGTGGCTGTTGGTATATGTGCGGGCGAGCACGCGTTTGTCTGGTGGGTGAGAAGGAATGTGTGGTGATCGCGTGTACAAAATTAATACGTTGTCGGAGCGCGGCTCTATGCAGTGACACCGGATAATGACGGCACGACCTTGACTTTAACGTCTGTTAACGATTCTGTTCGTCGCAACATCGTTGCGGCCACCTACGCAAGCGCTAACGATGCGCTAACGATGCCGCATTATGATAATTACAGCGCGCGCGGCCAGGTACCTATACCTAGCTCGCAAGCATGAAAGCATAGTCGCGCCCCCTCTCTCTCGCTCACTCTCTCTCTCTCTCTCTCTCTCTCTCTCTCTCTCTCTCTCACTCTTCCTTTCTCTCTCTCGCTCT